GAGTGTGTGGAAAGGAGATGGCATTAACCTGGGATGGGGAATCAATCAAATGATCACAGTGGAACCAGATAAGAATGTTTTTTGAAAGCTACACATTTGGAGCCACTTATTAACGTATTATAAAAAGAGCAATCTGAATCATTAAATGAAAAACGTTAACTAAAGAGGCATTATTTTAAAATAAGAAAATTCATAAACAATTCCATTCAAGGAAAATATTTGTAACATGTTAAATGATCCTTTAAGCGCAGTCGAACCTAACTGGAGTCTGTGCGAAACCCCTTTGAAACACCATATCACACCACAGCAATCTCAATATTAAATACAGGAAACTTTTTCCATTTGAAAGTTGAAATTTCTATTCATTTCAGGTTCGCACACTCACAGTCCACCACATATTATGAACCCCTATTATTTCTATTAAAGTTTTTCGGGGATTTCCCCTTCCCCTTGTTTAAAGGACATTTTCCCATGGAAAAGCAACGGCATAATAAAGCTAAAACAAAGCCCTGGCTGTCGATAGTGAAATGGGTCGGAGCATATGGTTGCCACGGGTGCTTGCAGGGGTGTTGCCAGAGTGCCCACAGTTTCTATAGTCAGTCAGGCAGCGGCATTCAGAAGCCAGAAGAGTCTGTCTCTATTATCGCTGCCATTTGTGTGTGTGTGTGGGTAAAAGTTCTACGAACTCTTCGTCCCACTTCCTCTTCTGTCTTTGTCTCTCTTTCTCTTTTTCATGACTTTCTATGCCAACGACGTTTGCTGTCAAAAAATCTTCAATTAAACGCCAGCACAAAAGCTTTCGCAGGGAAACAGAGAACCGAGAGAGAAGGACAGGCACAAAAAAGTGCAGGAATGAGAACGTTCAGAGGGAAAGCACATGTCAGAGCAGGGAGCAGGAAGAGCAGGAAAAACTAGGGATTGTGGTGCATTCAACAGCCGAGAGTAGGGCTCCAAATGAGCCCCTGTTGCAGTCCCAGTCACAATACCAGATCGCAGTCCCAATCCCAGTGCCTATCCCATGACCGAGTTGCATAGCAAGACAATGATGTCAGCCGCACAACGTTGCTCCCAAAACCCTGTCCGACCAGGCCAGAGCAGACATGGCCCATCAGCAACATAGGCTAGCGGTGGAGTGGCAGTGCCAGTGGCAGCACCAGGAAGAAGAGTACGCGCTCATCTTTTGTGGGTTATTTCATTGCAATCATACTCGTACAATCCTTGGGCCCTATTCAAGAGCCCAGCGCGACAGCCATGCCAAAAGGAATCTGTTGGCTTTTAGTACCCAAATATTTCTACAGGGTATGCAGCGGACACGCTGCTCAGCTCAATGCAAAGTTTATTCAAAAAAGGCCCACCAGCTGATAAGCACAAAATTAACTCCGAGAATCCATCTCGTTTGGTTTCCTCTCTGTCGCTGTCTCCCTATGTATAGCCATCTCTTTCGTTTCAGCCACACTGACTTCTGGCATGTGGGCAGCTGTTGGTCCTCTAAATGCTGCACTCTCTCTTTGCCATAGCTTGATCCAGTTGGTGGTAGTGGTAGGGGCGAGGGCTTAACGCTTTTACTTCACAGAAGGCTGAACCCCAAAAGGATGCTGCCGTTCCCGTACGCGATGGATGGTGGATGATGGAAAGCCTTTTGAAGTTTCCCTCAAAAGGAAGATGGCGCAGCAAGAAGGGAGGCGATGTCGCATGAAGGTAAAGAAAAATTTCGCGACTTTAAGGACAAAGTGGGAACGTGATGCAGAAAAGGGATAAAGGGGAATATGAAATACCGAAAGGATAAAGTGACACGCAATACCAAAATCACAAAGGGGGGTTCTGTAAATGTTAGAAAAGGATATAGTTTATTAAAACCAAATTGGTTCTGTTCGAACCTCGAACCTCTCCCTGCCAGCCTCCAATGGACATCCATCTGTAGCCAATGTTATTCCTCCTATGCCGCCCGCTACCACGGGGCGCCTAAAACAGTGCAGTGACATTTTAGAAAATTGGAATATTTCACTCGTATAGACAAGGGAGAGAAAAGGACTGAAATGTAAATATGTGTAACTCGGCCAAAACGGGCAAAAATGGCACAAAAAGCGGGCTAAAAGTGAAATACATTTTGTTCCAACAAACAAACAGAAATAAAAACGGGCTAAAACCAGAATGCAGGCGAGTGGGCGGTCATAGTGGTGTTGGATAACAAGTGCAACATTCAGGACATGCAACACATGTAATGGAAAAACATGCAATGAACGAAACCCGAGTTTCATAAGAAAAAGTACGTGATAGAATTTCACTCTGTAAATCATTTCATGGGGAAAAATCTTCCTCTCTTTTGGGACATGTTAAAGAAATATTTCCCAAAATCTTCGCATTTCGGCAAAAATCTAAAATTACGAGTGGTAAATGTCGGTTATTTTTAACTAATAAAAAAAAAACATAAAAATAAGAAATTCCGAAGTTAATACTTGTAGCAAATAAATAGTCTTACACTCGTGCAACGCACTGTACTTTTAGGTATTCTAAATGCAAATGCAGACAGAACTCAGTTATTGTTCACTTATTGGAGAACTGTTCAATTGCCACTCTTACCACCGCTCACCCGTAACTATTGTCCTTCCACTTGCCTCATATGAATAGATTTTTAATTGAAACGAAGCCCCGAAAGCACCAATCGATTTATGGTCTATCAAGCAATTGACATTGAATTCCAAAATAGAAAATATATTGCAACACTTCATACACATGGGAGAGCTATTTTACTGTACTTCCTGTCTTTGTGTGTGTTTTTGTGTTTGTGTTTGTGTGTGTGTGTGAGTGGTCTGCCTTGCATGCCAATTCGATGTGAAAATATAAAAAGGCACAAAGAGCAAAAGACGAATGTTCGTGCATATAAGGAATTAGCAAAAGAGGCACACACAGTACGTGGCACATGCCGCCCCGCCATGTGCCCCCAATGGGGATCTGGCCTACAACACTGCTGGATCGTTGTCCGGTGGGCGGCTGGGCGGTTGGTCGGTTGGGCGGTTGGCAGCGGAGGAGGGGTTATTGCTGTTGGCAAATAAAAGCTAAGTAGGCAAGTACATGATTAAAAATGCACTCACTCACACATTCAGACACTCACTCACTCACTGACATTCGCATAGTGGGTGGGTGAAGGAAGACGGGAGGAGCAGAGAACGTGAGCATAAAACGCGGTCTGACTCCCTCTGGTCATTAAACCCTTCTCAAAAAAACGTACATACCATACATATGTACATACGTATGAAAATTGAAACGAAAAACGAATGAAAAACGAAACGAAATCGAACCCAAAACGAAACGAAATCGAACCAGTAAACGAAGACAGACAGATAACAGAGCGTCGATGAGGGAAGCGGGAACGTAGGGCGAAACGAAAAGAGGGTAACGAAGAAGGTAACACTGTGAGAGAGAGAGGAGGAAGGGGGACGAACAAACAGAAGCCCACGGCATGCGAAAGAAAGACGAGACATAACCCCAAAAACCCCTGCGCTAAGCTTTGGCTTATCGACAAATGGGTATTTACTTAGTCTAGAAAAATTCACTGTAATTCCCTTCATTTCTGTTTTGCGTTTTTGTTTTTTTTGCATGATACCCCCGACTGCACCAACACGCCACCCCATCCCATTCTAATCCGTTCCATTCGGGGAATCGACATTCTATCAAAGGGATTTCTTGATTAGCACTCAATTCACATATGGGGAAAGAATGTGTCAGGGTTTGGAATTACTCAAAATGAGGGGGGGGATCAGAGTTGTCTCTCAATTATAGAGCTTCAGATCCGACCACTCCTCCCTACGAAGTGAAGCGTCGCCTGTGCTTTACCTCAACAAACCAGCAATAGCCTCCCTTGCCACAGCACTCCTTAAAAATGTAAATCTCGTTTTTCAATCAGACTTTAAATTGTTATTTCAGCCACTAAATTCGTATCTGTATTTATATCTGGGGCACTTTGGGCCTCTCCACTGATTGATTGATTACTGGAGAAGGAATCTCTCTGTTTGGCTGTCTGTTGGTTTTGGAGCTCCTTGGCTGTAATGTGTGTACACAGAATGTAGATTTATTACATGTTTAGCTTCATTTCTGGGTGAGGTGGAAAATAATCTTAAATCCCATTTACTCCCATAGCTAATTCATTATTTAAATTTATGCAGGCAACAGCAACAACATGCAACAACAGTGAATGTTCTGTTCCTTTCCGTCAAAGTGCATAATAAATGGGGAACACATCTCTCCCTCTCTCTCTCTCTCTCACACTGTATTCTTTCATTCTCTCTTCTCAGCCTTTCTCTCACATAAACTTTTGGTGTATGTTTGCATACTTTGCGGTTCTGGGCTTCTGGTGTACCCAACCGAACGAGCCAGGGAGAAGCTGATGAAAAATTTACATAAATTACAGCACACTTGACCAAAAATGCTGCAGAAAACATAGACATTATGGCCGAATAGTATATACCCTGGGGCTCAATAAGCATCTTCAAAATGCTGTAAACGAGGCATTAAATAAACTATTAAATGATTCAAGTTATGATTTTGCTAAAAACCCTAAGAGATTCATTCAAAATTCATTCCCCCCGAATATATAAAAATTTTTCTCAAAGTAATTCTATTTTCAACTAATTCTTCGTATGAAAACCATGAAAATAGTTATAAAAATGCTATAAAGAAAATGGAAATTCAAATACATATATGCAAAAGATAAACGAACATTTTAAATTAGTGGATGGTTCTCTCTTTTGCAGGATATTAAAAGACACAGAAAAGCTCCCTCTAGCATCTGCCCCAATTTGTGTTGTGTGGTAGCATGCAACATGTGTGTGTTTTGTGTGTGTGGTATGGATGGGAATTGGTTGATTAATTTTTTGAAATTTCTAATCAAATTAGGTTCAAGTGTGCTTCTGCTTCTCGGCTTCTCCTATCCTGATCCCGCTCCTCCTGTCACACACTACATGTGGCAGGCAGGCTGTTTGCCAAGCAGCAAATATAGAATTTGCAACAACAGCTACTTCTACACACAACAAAATGAGAGAAAATACAAAATACAACAAAAAAGAGGCAGTCAAAGCAGTCAACAGTCATTGGCCCATGGGTAATTTCAAATGCAAACATTTTGCTCCTACTCGGCATTGGACAACGACTTCCTTTTTGGACGCCGGACGGCTCGTTGCACAGCTGCTGTGGCAGCCGGGAAACCCAGGGAAAGCCAAGTGAGAATTGTTTGGGTTGGTAGAAAAGCCAGCAAGATGAAACGAGGGAAAGAGATGTAATGAAAATGTAAGCAAGGGGATATATGTATGTACATATATGTATGTGCATATATACAATATTTACATACATATATACACATGTACATAGGGACTATCAGCGACAACAAAGCGTGGAAACGTGGAAAATTGAAAAATGTGAAAAGGCAACCCCCACCGGCCCCCTTCTCATCCCGTGGCAACGCCACAGCAGAGGAAAATTGTGCGAGAGCATGGCCAAAAGCAAACAACATTTGAAAAATATTACGAGTATTTGCATATGAAACAGAAGGGACGGAGGGGAGGCAGGCATGGCGGCGGCACGCAGGGGAGACGGTGGAACGGTGGCAGACAGACGGGGGCAAGGGGCAGAGGCAGAGGACACACTGTACACCCGCTGGCGCTCTGCAAAAAGTGGAAGCTGGGAGACCAGGAGGCGAATGCGATCCCAGCTCAGAGCTCATCGTGTGGCAAAAAGTAAATCCCAACCAAACGCCGGGAACTCCCACTCCCCATGTCCCCACTCCAGCCACAACAAATTCAAAGAAAAACGGAAAAATACCCAGAAAAAATAACACAACAAAAAATCTTGTTCTCATTTCAGGCGTAAATGAAAATGTAAATTCGCTTTAAGCGCGTGCCACGAATCAGACCTTTATATAGTATATACAAGATGAATATATAAACATTTTCTAAAGTGAGAGAGACAGCAAGATAGAGAGAGAGAGATAGACAGAAAGCAGTGGAGAGCAGGAAATGGAGATATAAAGAGAGGGGTAGAACTATTGTTTGCAGTAACAATTTGATCGTCAAGAGTCAATGCCAAATACGCAATAAATCGCATTGGAACAGTGGAACAAACTGAACAATAACCAAACAAAATAAATCTTAGACATGGACAGTAAAATCTTAAAAACAAAATCAAAATTGTTTTGCAATTGCAATGTGAATATAATAATATTAATAGAAAGTGGAGCATCAATGTGTCGCATCATGTGGTAGAAATGGAAGCAGTTGGGAGTGAGTTAATCGCATCTTTTATAGTTTTTCAGCAGAAAGCATTAACAAAAATCCCCATAAAATTAAAATTGAATTTCCAAAACTGTTTTCATTTCAATAATCATGTTCAGCATTTTCGAGTTCTCAGAACCACAGCCGATTGTCGTCAATCCGTCCCGCACACCATCATTCTGTTCTCTCTTGGAGATTTCCCAGCTCAGGCGTTGAGTAGTCACTTATAAATTTATTTATCACTTGAGCCGGTGGATTTGGGAATGATTGCCGCCGCTCTCTCTGAGTCAGCAATCGGAAATGTGATACCACAAAAACGGAAAGCAAAACTACGTGACAGACTCACCATTTGGCGGGGGGGACAGAGGCACAAAATGTGATTAAACTTAAAATTTAAATATGACAAATAAGCATAATTTAATGCACCATACACATGATTGCTTCTGCCACTGCCACAGCCGCTGCTTCTGCTGCTGCCTGGTTATCAACAATTAAAGCCTCAAAAACATGAATAATGCAAACACAATGTTTTTCATCGTTTGACTAAAATATTAATGCGCAAAACACTGGGACGAGCGACAACCGCAATTCCGTGACATAATTGAAAATATTTCATGATTTTTGCATTCTCACAGCCGAAATACAAATACATATACAAATTTTTATACATTTACGAAATAAATTGGAATATTCATAGTGTTGTGTGTAAACAAAAGGAATTATTCCATAAATTAGGGAAGTTTGAATAATTGAGTTTTTAATTTGGTTTTAATTGAAAAAAAGGTATTACAAAATTATGAGAGAATATGTTAAATCCATTGGATATGCATCTATGCCTATCAGAATCAGCATTCTATTAATATATTTATACATATACCCGAGTTTCTTTGAGATAGAAAAACTAAGATACATTCGAGTATAGTGATGGGATAATCATCAATCAGTTTTATATTGATCATCTGATGAGATCAAGATTTAAGTAGTGATTTGATTTCAACAAATAATCATATATTTTTTTATAATTTGGATTCTCTCACAAATTAAAGGCACCTTTTTATCGAAATTTGGAAAGCTTCAGGCGCGCCCCCTCCACACACAACAGACATCCGTAACTTGAGTCGTGTCAATAAACTGTGTGAAAAAGGCCAAGAATCAATAGCTTCAGAAATGGAAGCCAAGCCTGGATGCAGCAGCTGTCATGCAGGGAGAAAGATGGAGAGAAAAGACGAGGCACAAACTTTTTTTGGAGAGCTACAATCTGTTGCAGCAACTTTAAACTTTTGCAATATCTCTCCTTTGGTTTATTTTTCGGGGGTGTGTAATGGGGTTTTAGTTTCCCAAAAAGACCAAAAGCATCCAAGTACCCATGCAACGTCAGCACCATGGCAGAATTTCAGAAGGAAGGAAAGAACTTGCACGAGCCAAACGAAACGGATAAAACTTTTAATACCCTTGCAAAACAGATGGTTTTATTTATTATTTCATATATATGATATATGATAATGGGAATAAGTGATTCGATTTCGAAGATGTTCACATTTTGGGACTAGTTTTGAATGCATCCTTACTTATGGAAACTTGAGCAATGCTTAATAGAAGGGGAAATACCTCAGTACGCGACAAATTTCTATGAAAAATTTATTACAAAGGTATCTCTCTGCTGGCACTTCAGACCCCAGAATAAGCTCGTTGCCAGGAAAAAACCCCACATCTCTATCTCTCTCTCTCTCTCTCTCTCTCTTTCTCTTTGCTACCTTTCCTTTTGTTTTTTAAGAGTTTTAATCTATAATTTCGTTAAACATATAGAAATGAGCTCATTTATTTGAATAGATCACACTTAATTTGATTTATTTATTTTTTTCACAGTGATTTTCAGCGTTAATCAGCGAGCGCCAGTCCGTCACTGCGACCTTTCCCGGGGATTATCACTCTCAACGACGACGTCATTTATTCTTTGTTCTTTCCACATATTCATTAATTTTTACAGCAAATTTTCTTATCAAATATGAAAATGCGCATATGAAATGAAACAAAAGTCCAAATGAGTAGGCGTGCCATTAATAGGCACGGGGATTTGCCAATATGTATAAGACGATTATAGTATTATATGTACATATGCATACATACATATATAGAAGTGGTGGGGATGACCAGGGACAGTCGATTTATTTTGTTCCAAAAATATACGAAATACTCACATACCTTAAAATTATTTAAACAATTCATAAAGTCCCACAATAATAAAAATTTTTATAACCGAAAACTAAAACTAAAATTGAACGAAATCATTGCATGGAGAAAACATGAGAGAGAATTTTGTGAAATATTTTCTGACCAGAGTATGCATAGTATATACACGGGTAAACAAATCTGCATTTCTGTGTGGGCATACATACATACATACATATGTATGTACATATATTTATGCATGAAGGTATCTCCCTCTATGTCTGCCCCTTTCTGTGGCAGCATCTGCGTGGGCCTTGTGGGCTATATGTATGTATGTATGTATGCACATACGTATGTACGTGTGGGCGTTCCAAAACACACAACAAGGCTGTAAAAATTGTTCCACAAACAATTCGAGCAAACCAAAACCCAAACCAAACAACAAAAAGAGCATCCATCCATCGTACTAAAACTCACGAATAGCCTATACTCTTACTTTATATCCTGTACCCTGTTGGGAAAATTCTCGAGTATGTTGAAATGTTTGCTGTACTTTCGAGTTCTTATGGAATTTTTCAGTTTCAGTAAGAAATAGGCGTTAAACTCATTTTAATGGGTATAAGGAATGATTAGAATACCGAAAATCCTAATTCCTAGCTCTCCGACAAAATAAAACGACTTCAATGTGTGGTGCATTTTGTAGGGTATAAAACCAAAACGCAACGATTCCAATTCAAATGTATGAAGACTAAGAGAAGACACGCGAAAGGGCGGGTAGGGTAAAAGGCAACTGGAAATGAGCCGTAGACAGTTGGAATGTGTAAAAGTTTATTGAAAAGCCATCGACAACATCAAACAAAACAACAACAGAAATCACAAGCAAGGGAAGAGCGGAAGAGGGGAGATGACAAGGGGAAGAGCAAAAGCCAGAGAATCAAACGAAAAAAAGCATAATTATAAAAGTCTGTAAAGAGCGTGGGTTAACAAAGAGTGACAGAGAGAGAGAACGGCATTGCGTGGGTGATGGCCGTTAACTCTTTTTCAAACCATTTTTCCTCCCGGCTTACATTTTCCAAGTTAATAGTATGCAAACACAACAACAAGCAAAAATGCAAAGCGAAAAGCCAAAAGTGGAGAAAAAAGAGAAGCAACAGCAAAAACAACAAAATAACGACAGGAAATACGCGCCATATACAAAAACCAAAGTGTAAGAGAGAGACGGAAGCAGAGAAGAACGACCCGTCAGTCAGACGGAGGAAGGAACAGAAATCAAGAGAATATTTTTCGCGCGATTTGCGTCAATGGAAAAAAAAAGGGAGAGACAGGAACTGGAAAAGGCAGAGCCAAGTGGATAGCATCTTCTTCATAGTAATTTTTTGCAATTAAAACAAGGAAAAGCCGTGCAGGAGGGGGTGGGTTATAATAAACATAGCACGAGGTAAACAAATCAACTGTAAATTTGCTAAGAATAAGAGAGCACGCCACATGACCCCTCTCACACATGCCAAAGAGAGACAGCAACAAGAACAAGACGAAAGGAATCTGCAACTAAATCAGCATCTGAATGGCACACTCAAAAGGGGAGAGGGGGGTCACAAAGAGAACGACGACACAGAAAATGAAAACAAAATTGTAAAAATACAACAACAAAAATACACACACGCACATTACAGCGGAAGAAGATAGAGAGGATGTGGAAGAGGAGATGAGGGCACACAACTTGTCTGTCAGCAAACCACAAAAAATGAAACAACACAAACGTGTAACAATATAAGGGTGAGGCATTACAAGAGAGTGGTCTAACGACGATTTCAAAAACAGATGGAACGCAAGGGGAAACACAGAGCGAGAGAGGGTAGAAGTAACGACACCCAACTTGGTAAGGCGATATTGGCCCCACCTTTTGTAAATACACCTTGCACGAGACCAAGTCGAAACAAACATATAAAACAGCAGCAGCAGAGGAGCAACAGCAGCGACAATGAAATGCGGCAACAACGCATGAATATTGACATTGCCTTACCCTTCTCTCCAACGGCAGCATGAGAGGCAGGGCAGCGTCAAACGGGGGCGGACGCAGGCGGTTCAATCTGCTTGCTGTTGTTGTTTGTCTGTCTTCAGTCGCGCCGTCGCGACGACGCTGCCGGCCTATGTATACATGAGGGCAGCACACACACACACACACAACTGCCGCCTCAGCAGAAACTGAAATTTCAAAGCAGCAGCAAAACAGATACAGAGGCATACGGGCGGCTCAAGACGAGGTCGCCACCGCCGAACAGTGTTAACACTGGACAGCAAGTTGAGAGTTTTAGGTGGAGTCTGACTTTGGCGTTAAACATGCCGACTAGAAATTATAGTGCTCTAGTTTTTCAGCAATCAATTAGCACTTAATTCCCCATACATCCGATAAGATAGCACTCGCTTAATTTATTTTGCTGCATAGTGTAAAAGTTCGAAGTTTGTTGTCTCTCCGTTTTCTGCCTATACTTCTTCGAAGTTGCTGCTGCTACCCACACACGTGCACACACACTCACATTTTTATGGTTACGTTCCGTTCATTTACAATTTACAACGCTCTCTTTCTCTCTACCATTTGCTTGTTCTCTTCTGTTGCTCTCTATCTATCGCAAATGTTTTTGCTTTTGATTCATTTGTGGTAAACCTTTAATTACTGTTGCATTTGATTTGCTTTTTTTACTTTTGGTCCGATAAAAATTGACTTATTGCAACTTTTGTTCACGTTCTATTAAAACGTTCATATTCTCTTTTGCACTGTCTCTCTCACGATCGCTGTTTTCGCTGTAATTGACAAATGACGCACATTACTCTTAAGGCGGGACGGGATCTTTTCCATTGAACTTAGATTACAGCGTGAAAGAGAGAGCATCAAAATGGCAAATCATCTGTCATTATCCGTACTGCAACTGTGTGTGTGTTTATACGTCTGTGTCAACGAAACGACCATCACTGATAACTTTTTGACATCGGCTCGGCTCTGTCGCCAAGTCACTTTCGTTCTACCCCTCACAACAACTTAGTCAAAAGAACATGGTGCAAGCTGGATGGGGGGTGCGGAAGAGCGTAAGCAATGGCAAAGTGCATGCATGCACACGCCACTGCAACAGCGACAGAAACAACAACAACTGTTGTAAAGAAAAGTGCAAAGTAAATGAAAAGAGAGACACACAAATGGGAGAGGGACGAGGTAACGCCGACGCCACACGTGAATAATAATTGAAAAAGAAGCGAGTGCAAGTGAATAAGATAGATGGTAATTATGTGCTGTACACAATGTAAATTAATGGAAAGGTGAGGCAGTGTAATAGAGCGAGAGACAGACTGAATTAATATACCCCTTGCCGCATTCATGTCTGAGATGAGATACCTGCCAAAGTTCAAGAGTTGCAGAGAGGGAGGGGGAGGTAGAAAACTGAAATATATAGAATTAGGAAAAGAATTCCAATACATTTTATGGACTATTATAATTACGAATAGAAAAATGCAAAATATGCACATATATTTTATATGTAGCTCGCAGGAAATGGGAAAACATTAAAAATTGAGTTCAGCATTTTCTTCCACCACAAGCGTGTTTAGTTAGCGGCTTGCTGATCCGACAGAAAAATCCTATATCAAGAACGCTGTCTGCCGCCATTGGAATGATATTCCAAGAAATTTAAGAAAATAAACAAAAACCGTATGCGCCTGCGGCAGAGGATGGAAAAGAGAGACAGTAGAATGCGAGAGCGGTACAGATAGTATGGATGGACAGGTCAGAAGAAGAGTCAAAGGAGGAGTGAGGTGAGTGAAGCAAAACCAAAGAAGAGAGCATATAGGTTTTGACACCTTTTCAGGTGTGAATGAGACGAAGTGATGTCCCTACTACTACTGTTTTCAATCTCCCTCGCGTTTAGCTGATGGACATGCCAATAATGCTAATGAACGTAAAATGCGTAAATGAGAGAGAGGAAGAGCGGGGGAGCAATCACAGACATTAAACTGCTCCCTCCTCTCTCTCTCTCTCCACCAATCTGTCGCACACACACACACTCACACAACTGGTACTCCATCTCCTGGGCCACTCATCAATGTTCAGAGCACGTTCTCTGAATGTTTTTGGCGACGCAAACAAACAGGAGGAGAAGTACATGTGGAGGATGAAGAAGAATAGCACGAGGAGGAGTAGGAGAAGGAGCACATGTAGATGGAGAAGCAGCATAGCCATAACCACAAAACAGCAGAGACAGAGAGAGCAAATGCCAATTTTGGCAAAAACAAGTGACAACAGGACAAAAGATGGACGGAATGGCCAAAACAAGATTACTTCAAGTCCCCCACCGATTCCATCCACCTCACAAAAAGGGGGAGGGTAAAGGACATCGCAATATTCATGTTGGGGAGTATAGTAGCAAGAGTGTGACCATGTGTGTGTGTGAGTAGAAATTTTTCGGTCGAATAAGTCACACAGCAACATCAAAATGAAAAGGCAGCCAGCAAACAAACAAACAAACAGAGAGGTAGAGAGAGAAAGAAACAGCAATCGAAATTGGCAACAGCCGGATGCTTTTGTTGGTCAACTACTTGACTGGTTGACGTTGGCAACGCCGGCCATCGCTACCAAAGATCATCACCATCGTGACCAGAACCAGACCAGAACCCGGCCCGGCCCAAACTAGGGGCAAAACCAGCCAAAAGTTAGAGATGGTAGAAGATTGAAGATTCCACGGCCATTCCATTGAAAACTGTAATACAGATTATACGAGTTTGACTAATTTATAAACATCTCTGTCTCCCCCCCACTTTAGCACAATAGAACCGATGCTGCAATTAAAAGTTATGATTCATTTAACCCGCACCCCTCTCGATGCACAGCACTGCCATCACTAAATGGGAGAGCGGACTGGACTCGATGACCAATTTCAGATTTTCAGCCTTATTTGAACAGACAAGACCTCATCCCCATCACCAGACGTCAGAGCAGAGCGGCAACTTTGTCTATGTCTCCAATGCGAATACGAATACCAATACCAGGATGTGTGTACGTCTGTGTGTCCATGCATTTTGTTGCCATATTTATGCGTTCGCAATGCAGACGTTTTTAATGTCTTCTCTTCCGAAACAACAAAAACCAAAAGAAAGAATAACCGGGGTAATGAAATTGTAGTTACCCTTTTAAGTCCATGTTGCTAATGTCCATGTTTCTATATGATAGATTCAGTAAAAACCAAAGGACTAGTGTTCCCATATAATCTTGGTTCTATTGCTGATCAGAGATTGCCAAACCTTTAGTCAAAATCATAGGACCTCTCTCGCATATCAGGGTATAAGAAGAGCAGACTGGAGCCAGGGCTCCACTTCATTATCTGCGTCATCGTGTGGCAGCCTCAAATTGCATCGAGTGCAATGCCTGGGAGACTTCATTGTTGCATCTATTGATTAAGTTCTCCCCGCACTTCCCTCAGTGCTCCATCTCTGCTGACCAATTTTACATAAGCTTCCAGAGAGTGACACCGGAATGTGGGAGTAAGGTAAGGAGAGGGATAACATAACCCAAACCGCAAAAACAACTTAAGTGAAAAGGAAATGAAAGCAGAGGCTGATATGGGGACGGACAGACGCTCAAGGTGCGAAATGTGGGCGAAGGAGAAACGGAATCTGTTAAGGAAGGAAGTGCATTTCCGAAATTGATTCACCCTAAGCGGATGAGAGGGCCATAAGGGGGCGACACTTACCTGATCAACGGCTTGGGTGGCGGCCACCAGGAGGCCCATCAGCAGTGCGGAGAGCATCAGACATTTACCGTTGCAACGCAACGACAACGTCGCCGTCAGCGTGCTGGTCCTCTGCTTTGGCATCATTCTTCTCTCAGTGGAGTCGTGGGCGTCGGCGTCAACGTCGACGTCGCTTACTTTAGATGATGGGAGCAGCGGCTGGAAAGATCTTCCAGTTTATGTTTATTGATATGTGGAGGGGCGGGCGGAACTAGACACACAAATAAATGCACTATGAATATTTCTCCGATTCACGATCTTGTTACGATCTTCAATAAACTGGTTTTACACTGCAAAATACACACAATTTAAACGAGACACTTGATTAGGAGAGCAGCACTTGAGGATCGATTAGATTATTAATTAAATTCCGCCAGCGAGAGAGAGAGAGATAGATGGAAAAAGTGCGCGAGCGGCTAAAATCAAAGCACTAGTTGTGGGAGGAACAGGGAAGGGAAGTAAACAAAGCAAAGAGAGGCGAAAGAGAGCGCTATAAACGGTTTCTGGCTGTGCCTGTCCATGTGTGTTTGTTACAGCCTGTGGGTGGTTGGTGGTTGTAGTGGTGGCTTTTGGCCAAAGAATGAAATTAAATTTAAGCAATTAATATGTCACATTAGAAAGAAATCTTTACTATAGCTCTGTAAATCGAGCCAACCATTCATTAGCATAGAACACTCTCTTTCTTGAGAGGCGCTCTTAACTTGATTTTTTCATGGCGGCGGCTAACCGCCCACCACTACAGCCACACACACCATCAACAAACTCAGGCACACACGACGAGCTCTTCTCTCTCTGTCACCCCTCTCGCTCTGGCACACGCTAACTGCGGGCACGGCGGCTTCTTTATGTGCCTCTTCCTCTTCTCCTCTTCGCGTTGTTTGGCTTTGGTTATATTTTTTATTTATTTTATTGGTATATTTTTGCCAGACCTTCTTTTAATTAAATATATTGCACAGAATACGCCGGGCGTATTTCCACAGATTCTCCAATTACAATTACAACGCGTGTCGGCTATAAATTGTTCCAAAAATTTCTTTACACTCGTTGGATGGGGGGGAAAAACACACACAGAGAGAATGCGCAATCACCGACCGACGACATTCAGTAATTTTTTTCGAGTCCGCTTTATGCGTTCGTTTGGTAAGAAAAGCAACGGAAAACTTTGAATGTGTGTGTGAATCAAACATGTACACTGTACATGTGAACGCATGGTATAGCTATATTAGGTAGGGACAACTTACCGAATGACTGTTTATTTTTTAACTAACAAAATGTATGCTATCGAGAATGTTGACACAATCAGTACTAAAGTAGCGTGTGTTTTCCTTGTTGTTGGTTGATATCTAAGTTTTTATGTGCGGCTCGCCATGAATGAAAACAAATTACATGGGCAGTACCCATATACGTACTATACCCTGCGACTAGGCGAGGAGTTCGAAAATTCGAACTTGCTGTCCTATTTTTATTTAAATACTTCTGGCGTGTTTTTGCATTTTGACACTATTTTGTAATTGTAATGCATAATACAAAGACGAGAAAGTAGTCGATAACTCTGGGTTTTCAAGTTGAATTTGAATTTAGAAATGTGGCGGTTCAATGTCATATGTCATCGGGGTAGGGTGACCGCATTTGGTATATACGGTATATATTTCGGTATATTTCTGCGAGTCAGATGGTATATTATAACGATAAGTCTGCGGTCACACTGACTCGGGGTTTTTGTTAAAAAATTAGCCAAAAAACAAAGTAAATAAGGTAATTATAGCTGTCCGAGGTGGCTGCGCAGTAGACCCGGATAAGGGGCTCATAAAATGGGCTCCCAGCATCGTTGAAAACTCACGGATGAATCATAAAACTGATAAGCTTTGTTTTTTCTTTCTTCCTTTTTGCTACGCTACTGCGTTCCCACACACATCGCTGCCTCACATTGCTCACTCTCCCCCCTGCATCCGTTCCCTTTTCTACCAATCAATGATGGAATGTGAAAATTTTGCTGCCGTTTAAGCCTGGCTTATTACGTATACGCCGTCTGTCCCATGCGATCAGAGCGGCGCCATGGATCTGGTGGACATTGATCAGGTCTTGGATAACCTGGAATTACGCATCGCCGCTGACGAGCAGGAGAGTAGAAATGCAGCAGCAGCAGCAGTAGCGGCGTCAGTGTCAGCGGCAGCTACAACGGTAGACTCTGCGCCCTCGCGCCCACTGGGAGACGGAGCCAGTGTCTCCAATGGGGGTGGAGCAGGTGCAGGTGCAGGTGCAGGAGCTGCCACAGCAACAGTAGCAGCTCCCACAAAAAGCTTTGTGGGCGTCTCTCAGGTGTTCAACAGCCTGGACGACTATCGCAACAATGTAAAATCGCTGGAGGTGGACAACCAGCTGCCCAGCTACAACTGGCAAGCGGAGCAATCACTGGAGCACTCGCGCGACCTGGACGACAGCTTCGATGACATCAACAAGTTCAGAGAAGGGCAGGAGAAGCGTCCAAATGAGGCAATAGTCTCCTCCTCCGAGTCTCTGACAACCTCCTCCTGCTCTACCTTCTCCTCGGGCCCGTCGCCCGTTAGCAACGACTCCGAGGAGATTGAGCCCAGTGCCCTGGAGGTGGTGGTGGCGGCGTCACAGGTGGGGGGGGGGGGGGTAGGGGTAGTCATGCCAGTGGAGCAACCGCAGCAGCCCAAAGCTGTTGTCGAGGACCTGGCCGTGGGCCTCTCCTCCATTTCCATCAGCAACAGCACGACCCCAGGGACACAGTCGCTGATTCCTGGCGAAGTGACGGCCTCCTCGATGCTCGGAAAGGTGCTCAACGAGCTGTCGGAGGATTTGACCAGCACAGAGCCGGAGACAGAGGTCACCAATGGTCTGGAGGAGGTGCCTCGCGCAGTGAGTATCCAGGCAGATGCATCTTGCCTTTAGAGACCTTCTTCTAATGCTCTAATCAATCCTCTCCAGGAATCCGTGCCCTCGGAAGCGCCTGCTTCCCCAAAGGAGCCTAAACCAAAGGATCACGGGCTACGGCGCCGTCAGCCCATGACATTTTGCTCAACAATGGACGACATCTCCGACACGGAGCTAGACAGCATGCTCCAGGAAATAGATGTGGATGAAAACCAAGAGGGGCACTTGGAGGAGCCGCCACAGCAGCAGCAGCAACAGGTTGATATTCTCGAGGAAGAAGTCTCTGCATCCGCCTCGGCCTCTGTTTCGCCCGTCACCGAAGAGGAGTCTGTACGCATTCTCTCCGACCAGGAGACGACCTCCAACGATCAACTGAACGTGGACAACTTCTCGCAGGCCTCCACCGTTGAGTTTGCGGAGCTGAAGCCCCACGAGGCCGCACCAGTGGCGGCCATTGGCGAGGACATTGCCTCTTTCAGCAGCACAGAGTCGGACTCGCTTTCGGGCAGGAAGCTGGACGAAGAAGAGCAAGCGGAGGAGGAGGACAGTGTGGCTGCGGATGCCCTGAAGACCGAGGAGCAGCGTCCCCAGCGACCGCAGACACTGGATCTGGGTCACCAGGCGAGTCTCAATGCCGGACAGACGCCGCCAGAGCCCACCGAGGAGGTGCAGGTCCCCACTGCTGATGGATGCCTGGAGGATCAGCAGCTGTCACAGTCGGATGCCGCCTCGGCACCAACAGAAGACGACGAGAGCCCCATCTACGAGGCAGTGGGGTACAGCGATCCGCATGCCAATCTGGGCAAGGTGCCGCCCATCTGGGTGCCGGACAACATGGCCGGGCAGTGCATGCAGTGCCACCAGAAGTTCACGATGATCAAGCGGCGCCACCACTGCCGCGCCTGCGGCAAGGTGCTCTGCTCCGTCTGCTGTTCCCAAAAGTTTCGCCTGGAGTTTGCCAACGAGCCGGAGTCGCGTGTCTGCGTCCAGTGCTTCATGATCCTCACGGAACGGGAGGCCTCTGGCGGCACTTACCCGGACAATGCCTCCGCTCCGACCTCGGCCCTGCCGCCCACGCCCATGCGCTCGCCGAACCCGAACAATCCCATGGAGTACTGCTCGACAATTCCGCCGCACCATCAGGTGGCCGCTAGTCCCGGTGCACCGCCGCCCAGCGTGATTGTGCCCGTGGGCGTGCTCAAGAAGACCGATGGCAGCTCCAACTCGAATTCCTCATCGTCGGACAGCAAGAAGGGGCGCAAGCGCAAGAGCGTCATGTTCAGCGATGGCATCGCCCCAGGCAGCGAGCTGGCCAGCACCATGGAGCAGCAGTGGGGCGAGGCCAAGCAGGCGCGTCGCGGCGTGCCCCGAAGCAACGGCGGTGGCCAGAAGCCACCCACACCGGCGACGGAGGAGCCACGATCCAGTATTGAGAGCGCCACCAGCACCACCATGGGACTGGTGGCCCAACTATTCCGCGGCTCCATTCCACCAAGCGCCGCTGCGGCCACCCTCACGGCAGCCGAATCAAGCGGTAGGTGTAAGCCCCAAAAGAACTGTCATCCAATCTGATCCTTCTTCTCTGCTCCACAGGTGGTCGTCCCACGGCCCAGACTTCGCCGCGTCGCAAGGCGGAGCCTGTGCGCTCACGAAAGCTGCCGCCAAATGGCGATGCCCATGGCTGCTATCTGCCCGTCGAGGAGAACGCCCTACCGCCCATTTGTGTGGGGGGCAAGGAGGCCGGCAGCTGTGACGTGGACTACAAGGTGGTCCGCAACGATGGGGATCTCCTGGAGCGACTGCAACACGAGACGCTCAAATTTATCTTGAAGAACAACTTCTACGTTCTGGTCAAGATCATCAACAGTGAGTGGTGCCTTGATGCTCCTTGATGATCCACTTATAATCCATAATCCATCCCTCCATTCCGTTGTTTCTACAGTGAGCTGCTGCATGAACCGCTGGGTGCTGAACTTCACCACCTCCGGACTGCACCACATGGGCAATGACGAGCGGGTTATTCTCCTGGAGATTAAGCCGCCCTCCAAGCAGGGAGAACCAGCTGCAGGAGAGCCGGCAGTGCCGCGCGACATATTCCAGCACCTGTACGAGATCTATGTGGAGGCGGAGCAAGCACGCTCCAGCATCCAGGAGCTGGCCTTCACCAGCCCCAGGAGCGCCAATTTTCTTGGATCGCGAGAGCACGGAGGCTTCATCTACATCCGGCCGACATACCAGTGCCTGCAGGGCGTGATCATACCAGAGAATCCGTATCTGGTGGGCGTGCTGATCCATCGGCATGAGGTACCGTGGGCCAAGGTGCTGCCGCTACGCCTGATCCTTCGTTTGGGCGCCCAGTACCGCTACTATCCCTGCCCGCTGATCTCAGTGCGTGGTCGTGAGTCGGTGTACGGGGAGATCGCTCAGACGATCATCAATTTCCTGGTGGACTTTCGCAACTACTCGTACTCGCTGCCCGCCATTCGGGGCCTGTACATCCACATGGAGGACCGCCAGATGACGGTGATCATTCCGCGATACCGCCAGCAGGACGTGATCAAGGCGATCAACAATGCCAGCGATCACATTCTGGCGTTTGCCGGCAACTTCTCAAAGGTGGCCGACGGTCATCTGGTGTGCATGCAGAACATAAATGACGACCGAAACGAGATGTACGCCTACTCCACGCAGGCCATAAACATCCAGGGCCAGCCCCGTAAGGTGACCGGCGCCAGCTTCTTTGTGCTGAACGAGGCGCTCAAAAGTAGCAGCGGTTTGTCCGGCAAGTGCAGCATCGTTGAGGACGGCCTCATGGTCCAGATAATGCCCGCCAAAATGGAGGAGGTGCGTCAGGCGCTGCGCAATCAAACAGACATCGACATTGTGTGCGGTCCCATCGATGCCAGCGACGATCAAAGCGAGATTGTCAGCATCAAGTGGGTGGACAACAATCGCGACATTAATGTGGGGTAAGGCAACAGCTGATCCTCCATCGCATTGTCTTCTGAATGAACTCTATTGCAGTGTAAAGTCGCCCATCGATGACATGGCCATGGAGGGCATCTCCAATATGCGGGTGCATGCCAGCTTTAATTTTTCCAATGCCAATTATGCTATCCGTTTGAGCGAGATCTACATTGTTAAGGTGAGGGAGGATCCAATCATATCTAAAGGAAAGGCATACAGTGTTTATATTTGACTCTTATCGCTTTAGTGCGATGATTGGTATACCACAAATGGTGGCAACTATGCGGACATCACTCGCATTTCCGAGCAACTGGCCCGAAGCGCATCGATGGCCCTGCTACCATTCCTCGATCTGCTTGCAGCGGCTGGCATCAATAAGGTGGGCCTCCGTGCCACGCTGGATCAGGAGAATGTATGTGAATTTATCGATAGATATATTCCCCCATATCCAATAAGTTAATGCTAATTCTTGGCTTTATTTGCAAAGGTCTGCTATGAGGCCGGTGCTCGTGGCTCGAAGCTCCCGCCACTGTATATGAATGCGTTGGACAACCATCTGATAGCCACGCTACATGGCGAATCGTCGGGCATCCAGGAGCCCATTATCCTCGAGCTGGTGTTCTACATACTAAATGCCTGAATATAATCCATCCCCCCCTCATAGTGCAATTCTTCTGCTGGAATCGAAAGCGATAAGTGAAACGCGATACGGAAACCGTCTTAAGTCTAAGTCCTACGGCTGATCCGTTCTCTAGTTGTATTGTCCGGGTGGCTCAGCTACAACAATAACTGTATATATATATATAAGTAGTTCCATCGATTGGGTTTTGTTTCTTTCTCCTTTTTTCTACGATTTACCCTATCTCCTTCCTCTGTGTTTTTGTTTTCCACTCTAATTTATCGACATGAATTTTAAACGATTTGAGTTTTCATTGAAAGTAAAACGTAGAACTATCTAATTTACCTAAAATATACAAATATATCTATATATATATATTTCTATGTGATGTTCTTAATTAATGCTTTTCCAATTGAGTACTTTATACATATGTATAAAGATATACATATACATATGTAAGCTATATGCTGTATGAATTAAAAACTATGTAAAAATGTTGCTTAAATGATTGCTTCTGTGTTTGGGCATATTTCTTAGGTCGTTTTTGAGGCTTTATCCTGTTACTCTCACCTTCCGTACTCTCGGATTTCTGTGGAGCTTATATCAAACATTTTTACTCGTCATTTGAGTTATCTTTTTTTTAATGAACATGGGTTGCCCCGTGGTGCCACTGCGACTGCAGTTTGGCAACGCAAAAAATAGCAGCAATGAATGTCAGAATGTGCTTTCAAAAGTTTCCAAGCCTGTTAATACTGAACATTTTTTTTTGGGCAAGAAAGGTGCGATGCCTCTGCAGATAATGCAATAATAATTTTTTGTTTCGTTTTTGGATACTGTACCAGGACAAACGAGAAGGAACGTATGAGTCAGGAGGGAAAATGCATCACACAACGAAAACTGTGAAACACATTTTGACATTGGGCTGCAATTGATTGGATTGAAAGATTTTGGAACACCCAAACGCCATTTAGATCGGTTTTTTACAATTTTTTGTTTCTCGAATGCGATTGTGACTGGCCTATAAAAGGGCAAGCAGCATTCGCCTGTGTCTCATTCGATGCACGACTTTTGCGACACGTCTCTCTCAATATCCTGCGGTGATTATCAATTGAAAAGAATAGTGCTGTGTTTAAAAGATACTTTAAATTGTTGAGATTTGTCCAACTGGCTGTCTGTCCTTAACGTTACAGCTGAAACGTGGGGGAGTCTACATTTGGAAGCATCAAGTAGATATTGATTCTAATTTGTTTTTTCTGTAATTCGAAAAATCGAGTAACACTCGTAATTAAATATTAATTCTAGTTTTTAGTTTTAATTTCGGATTGAAGTAAATCAAATTTATTCAGCTAACTTAAAAGTTGTAGTGTTTGTGTGATTTTGAGTGATATCCATTCGTTTTGATAACAATTCTTACAGTACTTTCGCAGATCTAGACCCAGATATCCTCCTGCCCGCATTTTTCGCATTCGATATGAAGCCCTGGGTACCGGCCATGGACCACGCCTTAAATCACATAGCCACGATCTTTTGGCAACGAGGAGGAGATCTATGAGAACTATCTGAGGGCTGCGCGCATTTATGCAAGAGGCATCAACCTTCAAGCTGATTTTCCCACCTCACACTTTTCGGAACTTCGTCGATATTTATCTGCTCCTGCGGTTTTGGTGCGAAAGTTCATGCTGGCGGCACACAGCCGGGGCATGACCAAGGGCGAGTGGGGTCTTCCTGGATGTTGAGATATTTCAGAACGACGTCTGAGGCCACAAGGGATGGGAGATGAAGGACGAGCATAGAGAGCACCGATTGCAATAGCAACGTAGAGAACATCAACGGTCATGTGAGTATCGATGAATGCAGAATGCGGAATGCAGACTACTCGATCTTCCATCTGCATGGACTGACGATTCATTGAATCAGTCATTCGGTGAATCACTGATTCACTGGATCCTCTGTCCATGCAGATGGAAGATCGAGCCGTCTGCATTACGCATTTTGCACCTTTGATTACCTTTTATTCTCTCTTTGTTGTGATTCCACTCGGTGCTCTCGATGCTCGTCCTTCATCTCCCATTGGAGATCGACATCAGCTGTAACGTTAAGGACAGGCAGCCAGTTGGACAATTCTCCACAATTTAAAGTATCTTTTAAACACAGCACTGATATTCACTATATTCAATTGATATTCACCGCAGGATATTAAGAGAGAGACGTGTAGCAAAAGTCGTGCATCGAATGAGCCACAGGCAGAGCTAGTGAATCAGCTAGCGTTATTCCACATATTCCACCAATTAAATATATATATAACATAATATAATATTTTTTAACAGTCGCGTTCGAAAAAGAAAAATTGTAAAACACCGATTCAGTTTGGGTGTTCCATAAATCTTTCAATCCAATCAATTACAGCCAAATGTCAAAAGCTGTTTCACAGTTTTCGTTGTGTGATGCATTTTCTCTCCTGATTTAAGTCCAACCAACACCTTTTTCGTAATGTAGAAATGTAGTCCTGGTACAGTATCCAAAAACGAAACGAAAAAATTCTGCACTTATTTTGCCCCGAAAAAGAAACTGTTCAGTTTTTAAGTAACATTTTTATATAGTTTGCAATTCATACTTATATATATATGTACATATACATATATATATAGTACTCAATTGGAAAGGCATTAATTGTGTCCGTCGTAGAAGTCGATGATAGGGTCAGGTTGTTATGCAGATCGTTCAAGGCGTTCACCACCTCAATGGGCTTGTTGCGGACGCACAGCTCTTTGAAGCTCACAATGTTGCTCATGTAAATGGTCACGCGGCTGAGCTCCACCAGCTGCTGGACCACGGGTTGCGGCAGAATCTGGCACAGTAGCTCCTCCGTCCACTGCACTGGTCATCCATTAGGCTCTCACGGAAGCCACTGGAACCAACAAAAGATGATCAGATGCTTCATTGACTTTGGATAATGCATAATCACTTTACAATGGTGCGGATCGTGGAGAAGGAAGAGCGCTCCTCCGGGTTGTCCGCCCAGCACTTTTCCATCAGCTGTAGTAGACCGGGTGGACACTCCCGCTCCCTGATGAGCGGCCGAAATCCACTGCATTGTATGGTGTGGACATCCATCTGCGGGCGCGCCACGTCTCACAATCTTCGCCAGAATGATGCCAAACGAGTAGACATCCCCGCGTTTGCTGGCCGGACAGCAGTCAGAGGCAGTAGCTCCGGGGCGACCCAAAAGGATCTCTAGAATGTGAGGATGCTCAAGAAGGAACGTCTGGGAGCCATGAGATGGATGGGATCGACTTACTCAAGCAGAAATGATCCTGCACAATGTCCAAGGGCGTGGTAAGCGTGGTCTTGAGCACAAACCTGCCATCATTGAGGCAGTTGGAGGAGAGTAGTTTTCCATGGGCCACCACGTCGCTGAAGAACATGCTGAAGTTCCAATCCAGCTGGATGGCCACGTTACCCAGCACATCCTTCAGGCTGCAGCGCAAATAATACTCCTTGAGAATGGCGTCAGAGGCACGGGGCAGATCGATGCAGGCGATGCCTACGAACCGCACCGTGTTCTCGTGGCTCACGTTGCGCACCTGCTCGATCTCCCACAGCAGCTGGGGCGTCAGCTCTACCTTCTTGATGAGCACGCGCTCGCCTACCGGAAGCTACCGGAGTGGATGCCAAACTGTTGCAGTCGGACATCTTAATGATGATCAGCAGCTGATTGCCGGGGATCTGATGGAGCACCTTCGACGGGATCATCGACTTCTGCCATGTCAATATTAATTTTATCATATATGTATGTATACCTACTCATATTCTATAATTAAAGTAAATTGTCCTATCAAGAATATAAAAAAATATAACGGTTAATGTGATATTGTGGGTGGGCGGATTGGTGAGGGGGGTTTAGGGTTGGACAAGATGCTTCTTTAAAAAGTTCTGCAAAAAAAGGTACGAAGGAGAGAGTTTCTCTTGTATTTTTATAGATTGAAATGGCAACCCTTCCCATCTGAAACTTTGGGTTCTAACATTTAAACTTGTGTCACTTTTATTGGTTTTGCTATCATTAAAACTGCTTTATCTACCAAAGAACTGCTCTATCGGCGACGAGGCATTTTTTTTTGTACTGCTTTGCTTTTGCACAAATTGTCGTGCCCTTTCCAATAGCCTAAAACTGGCTGCCAGAGACGTTACATATATCGCACGCTAGGTAATACATTTATCTGATTAAAATGTTTGTATAAGAAAAAAAACATTCCAGCCGAAATTCGGGAGGTCGAGAAGGAACCTCAGCTGCACGAAGAGAATATCGAAGTGAGGATCACTCGCTTGGTTCATTCCCTGGTCAGGGATGAACAAGAGCATTGACTGGGGCTTCGGGTAACAGTTGGTGCGTCAGATGCGTCACAATCCAGAGATGACTGTGAATTATTTTTGGTAATATTACGACGAACTAAAGAAGGTTAATTTTATACATATATATTTGTAATACAAATTATTATTAGAATTAAAACCAATGTAACTGAACAAGGAATTTTAATTTTAATAAACGACCATTAATTATACATTAAATGAAATACTCGAAAATCGTTGTTAAATTATTCTTTATTCAATTTAAAATTTTCCCATTGGCTTTGCTGTGTGCGCGCGTGTGTGTGTGTGTTCGAGTCTGTATATGAGCACAAAAATGAGTTACAACTTTCAATATAACAACCTATGAATGAAAAAAATGATAAAAATGATCGATCAGTTTGTACATACATATAATTAAAGCCTAGAACGGGATACAGACAGCGCAGACTGTAGCAGACGGACATACTGAAATGGATGTACATAGACATCTATGTACAATCTCTCTCTCTGTCAATATGTGTATGGGTGTATTTATGTACATAATGACATTTTGGCACTGTGTTTATTATCGGGTGTATAACTATTTACTCGCATATATCAATTTACGTTTGTTTGTGTGTGTGTATGTATACATATACATATGTATATATAACTTAAGCACTCTTGTCCCTTTTTTGTCACTAAATATACACATATGTATGCTATGTATAAATTAAAGACTATATAAAAATGTTGCTTAAATTATTGTTTCTGTGTTTGGGCATATTTCTGAGTTCGATTTTGATGCTTTATCCTGCTTCTCTTACCATCCATCTGTCGGATTTCTGTAGAGCTTATATCGAACATTTTAACCCGCCATTTGAGTTATATTTTAATACCCGTACTCAAAAAAGAGTTAAGGGGTATATTAGATTTGTGGTAAAAGTGGATGTGTGTAACGCAGAGAAGGAAACGTTTCCGACCCCATAAAGTATGTATATTCTTGATAGGCATCAATAGCTGAGTCGATAGAGCCATGTCTATCTGT